GTGTGTATGAGAGTGTGTGTATGTGTGTGTGTGAGAGTGAGTGTGTGAGTGTGTAAGTGTATGAATATGTGCGTGAGTGTGTGTGTGAGAGATAGAGAGCAAGGTAGAGAAAGGAGGTGGTGATGTGTGTGTATGAGAGTGTTATGTGTGTGAGAGTGAGTGTGTGTGTGTCTGAGAGAGGGAGAGAAAGAGAGGCAGAGACACAGACAGGCAGAAAGATGGAAACAGACAAAGAGCAAAGTGGAGAAAGGAGGGGGTGGTGTGTGTGTCTGTGAGTGTGTGTGTTTGTATGAGCGTGTGTGAATGTGAGTGTACACACACACACACCAAGCTCCGAGACAGGACCCAGGCTTTCTGGGACAGGGAGGGACAGAATGGGCCCCAGGAAAGCAGGGAGGGGGCTGCCAAGAGCCTCAGGGCCCTGCAGAGGACGGGAGTAGGCAACATGTTGAGGCGTGTGGAGCTGTGGAGGACACAGCGGAGACATTCTGGGGAGGAGGGACAAGGCCCCTGGAGGCCACTGGGAAAGAGGGTGGAGGCTGTGGGACCCCGGGGGATCTTGGGGGTGCCCCGGCAGGAGTGGGCGCCACCCCGGGGCTGACCGTGGCTCCCCCCCCTGCACAGACCACAGGGCTTTCTACGTCATCTTTACCTGGGACCAGGAGGCTCATATCTATGAACTGGTGGCCCAGACAGTGTCGGAGAGAAAGCAGTGAGTGGCGGGCGACTGTGGGGGTGTTGGCCGGGAGTACACCTGCACCCCGCCTTGGGTGGGTCCCCCGGCTTCTGGAAGAGGGCCCTTCCAGCCTGGCCTAGGGCAGGAGTGGGGAGACGGGTGTGGCCCCCCAACTGCCCTCCCCTGCTCTGCTCTGTCCTAGCTGGTGTACCCTCATCACCGACACAGCGGGCTCTCTGAAGGTCCCAGCCCCATCCGGGCGGTCCAAATCCCGCCCGAGCCCCATCAGGTGAGAGGCTCCCCCTTCCTCTGTCTCCCCCTCCTCTGGCGCAGCCCCCTCTTTCCGGGCCCCCTGTGCTTCTCCAGCTCTTCCCACACTGGGTCTCCTTCCCCTCAGTGCTCGGGAGCCCCTGATCAGCATCTCTGAGAACGGGAACAGCAGCAGAGAGACCCCACAGGCCGAAGGTAAGGGAGGCACTGGAGGGGAGGGGGCTGGGCCGGGGCCGCAGGGGCGGCTGTCTGAGCTGGCTCCCTGCCCGCAGCAGGCCGCTGTGAGCGCATCCTGTCTGACCTGCTGCCCTTCTCCTGCCCGGACACGGAGGGACAGCTGGCAGCCTCTGCCCTCCGAGAAGGTAACCTTGGGGCCCTGCCCCTGCCCCTGCCCCGCCCTGCCTGGTCATCCCTGGCCTCCGTCCAGCCCATGTCCAGATCCCGTCCCCGCGTCCCCGTGTCCCCGCGTTCCTGACCTGCCTTCTCTCTGCCCCCCAGTTCTTTCCCTTAAGCAAATCCTGCTCCCAGCAGAGGAAGAGAACGGGCCTGGGCCAGCCCCGGAGAGTGAGGGGGCGCCGGGGGCTGCCCAGACCCAGGAGGTGCGGGACAGGCTTCTGACCTTGGAGGACACCATCAAGAGGCTGGAGGTGAGCCACGGCAGGGGCGGGGGAGGCAGGGAGAGGGAATGGGGGGCGTCCCCTCACAGAGCTCCCTCCTCTGTCCTCAGGAAGTGGAGGAGGAGTTCTGTCGGCTCAGACTCGTCATTTCCCAGCTCAATGGGGCCTCCCCCAGCCAGGCTGGCTGCTCCTGAGGGCCGGGCAGGTGAGCCCCCGTGGAGGGTGGCCCCTGGGGGCTGCCCCCCAGGCCCTCTCCAAGGGAGGACCAGGAAAAGGGAGGGGGAGATGTCTGTCGGCATGCTCCCCCCAGCGGATCAGCCACTGCCCACTGTCTGCAGAGAGGGGGCCCGTGGGCCGGTGGGGCCCCCCAGGCTGCTCCTCCTCTTCTATTCCCAGCCCCTTGGGGGACCTCAGGGCTTTATCCCAGCTCCCCTTCACTGATGGGACGTGTCAGTATTCCGCCCCCACACGTGGGGGCCTTCCTTCCCCAGTCCTTCCTTCTCCAGTGCCTTACCTGTTACGCATTGTTTTTATATTCTGAGGTTTATTTTTAATATATGTATATATATATATATATATGTATGTATGTATGTATGTGTTATGTCTTGGATCTACCAGTTACTACCTGTGTGACCTTGGACAACTCCCTTCCCCGCTTGGGGCTTCAGTTTTCTCATCTGGGGAATGGGAAAGAGCGCCACGGGCACTACCTGCCTCACCCGGGAAGTTGGGGGAAGGCCAGACACCCCTGCCCCCTGAGTCTGTCTTTCAGGCATCTGTCTGTTGCACTGTCCTCATGTCTCCATTCCACCCTGCCTGAGTCTGGAGTCCTTGAAGGGAGAGACGGCCATGTAGGGAGCAAACCCAGCCCCAACTTTGACAGAGGGGCCACTGAGGCCCGGCTCCTCACCCAGGGAGGGTGGGACACTAAGCTCTGCCCTGTTGCTCAGCATGCTGAAGAAGGCGCTCTGGAAACCTTCACACTCCCTTTTCATACCTGGAGTCCTTGGTGTCACATGGGGGGAACCTGGCCCTTTGACCGCCAGCTCGGCCGTCTGCCCTCCGGCCTCACCAGGCTCTCTTCACCTCCCCCCACCCCCCCCCCCAGGAACACATGACTCTTCAGGCCTCGTCCCAGGAGGGTTTTTTTCTCCCTTTTTATTTTTGTAATAAACTCTTCCCATGGGGGGTAGGGGGCGGGGCGGATTTATTGCTCTGAGCCCCCGGCCCTGGGCTGGGGGTGGGGGTGGGCAAGAAGGAGGCTTCTCCTTCATAACACAAGCACATCACGCACTAGGTTGGGGGCGGGCTCACAAACACATCAGGAATGGGAAATGGGGGGGGCAACACCATATTGCACTTTGGAAGGGGGTGAGCACAGCTGGGAACTCCTGGGGCTGGGGAAGGGCAGCTGTCCCTTCCTGGGGTCATAGAGGGGGCTTATGGACTTGAGAACCAGAGGGGGCCTTCGAGAAGGATCCATCTCCTTCAGCCCACCCCCAGTGCACGCCTGGTGCTGGCCGGCACCTTCCTGGAAGCCGGGATTCGCCCCTTGCACCTGCAGATGACAAAGCCCGATTTCCATTGCACCTGGTGCCCCTCAGAGGCCGGGGCAACGCTTGGTCCCCTCCTTGGGCTGGAGGGGAGGGAAGGAGATGGACCCCTGGGGTTCAGGAGGAGGGGATTGAGTTCCCTGCTGGTCTGGGGGAGGAACAAAGTGCCCCTTTCTGTGGGGGGAAACTACCTTGTTCCCCTCTCCTTGTGGGCTAGGGTGAATGGAAGGAAGAGACCGTGTTCTCCGACTTAGTCGTGGGTGTGGGGGGAAACCCTGACTCTAGGAGAGGGGAAGGAGGAGGGATTTAGAGCTGGAAAGGACCTTGAAGGTCATTGAGCCCAACATCCCTCCCCCATTTTGCAGAGAACTGAGGCCAGAGAGGGAAGGGATGGGTCCTAAGTCCATGCCAAAGTCCCTTTCCCTCCCTAGGCTGGGGAGGGAGGGCACTTCTGGGGTTCAGACTCAAGACCAGCTTGGGGAGGAGAAATGATCCCTTCTGGTCCCTGCCCCCTTCTTAGTGGGACGGAAGGGCGATATGTGTGGGCAGCTTCCTGGGATTTGGAAAGGACAAGTGGTCCATTCCTTGGTCCTGGGAAAGGTTGGGGTGAGCTTTGAGGGAGACCCTGGGCCCCCCGGAGGGGGGAAGGGAGAGACAGGGTTCCCAACGTCACTAGTTCCCTGCCCCCTCAGCTCCCTGCCCCACCTCGGCTGCCCTGACCCTCAGGGGGCCCTGGAGCGCCGTCATCACCCTCGCTGTCCGAGCTGCAGCCGCTGACATCAGTCACCTCCAACTCAGAGTCGCTTTCCTCTTTGGGCCCCAGAGAGGGAACCTCGGGGACCCCTGTCCCGGGCAGAGTCAGACGGGCACTTGGGGCCAGGCTTGTGCGCTGCGATCCAGGTCCATCGCCAGTAGGGCCGGCCAGGAGGGGTGTTGTGGCAGGGCCACCTCCCCCAGGCCCTGTGGGCAGCTGCCCCAAGGATCCGGCCAGGGGGTTGGGGTAGAAATGCGGTGGATATAGGGAGGCAGGCAACTTGGGGAAGGGGCTTGCCAAGTAGGGGTTAAAGTTCCAGGGATACTCGGGAAAGGTGCGGCCGTAGGGGCTCAGGAGGGCAGGGGGTTTCGAATAGCCCGCAGTACCTGGTTGGGAGGAGAATGGAGGGTCAAGGTCAGGTGGTTCCCCCCACCTCACCCCTCAGAGCATCTCTCCTACCGCTGCCCTCAGTACCAAACCTCCCCCTGTCCAACACCTCCCTCCCTCAGTTCCCCGAGTCTCACCAGAGCCCAGGAAGGGAAATGGCCCATCCAGCCGGAGTTTGTCCGTGTCTGGGGCAGACAGGTGTTGGGCAAACAGGGGCGTCCTGCTTCCTGGGTCCAGGCGTGGAGTGGAGAACAGGGTCTGTAATGCCTAGGGGCGGTGTAGAATTGAGGACTAAGCTTCCCCCTTTATGCCTCAAGGACCCAGGAAGCCTGATTGCTCTCCCTCTCAGAGACTCGGATATCCTGACCCCCAATCCTTCACAGACCCAGGCATCCCAAATCCCTCCCTCCCCAGTCCCCAGGGACACAGTTAACCTGATCCTAGCTTCCTCCGGAATCCAGGGGTCCTGATGAGCTCCCTCTTTAGTTCCTGGGGGACCCTCCAACCCCCATCTAACCCTCACCCTGGACGTCCAGTTTTCTTGTGTGGCTCAGTAGCCCTCCCAGGGCCCCAGGTGTTCTGACCCCCAGCTTCCTTTGGGGTTCAGTAATCCTGATGTCCCAGCCCCTGCCCCTTCTGGAGACACAGGTGTCCTGATTCTCCATGAGGCTGGCTCACCTCTGGAGTGAGGGGAGGGCCATCAGGCCCTGCTGCCCCTCCAAAGGGCCCTGGGGTGAGCAGCAGAGGGGCTGCGGCCACGTCCAGCAGGGGGTAATTGACCAGCACGACTTTGCTGAAGTTGAACTTGTATGTGAATCTCTTCCCTTTGGTCTTGTGAAGGATGCGTTTGTTATAGTAATAACTGTGGAGGCAAGCGACATATCTCACCTGTGCCCCCTAATAACTCTGGGGGATGAGTCATCATCCCCGTTCACCACAGATGAGGAAACTGAGGCTCAGAGAGGATGAGAGAAGGGGTCTCAGATCATCTAGTCCAATGCCCTCATTTTACAGATGAGGAAGCTGAGGCCAGGGCAGTTAAGTGACTTGTCCAAGGTCACACAGCTAGTGAATGGCAGAGCTGGTATTTGGATTTGGGTTCAGTGCCTGTGGCACGATATCACAGAACAAGGAGGAAAGGGGAGTCTTCTAGACTGGGGATAGATTTTGGAATAAGTATCCTGAAGTTCCACTCCCCAGGGACCCAGATGTCCTGACCTCCTCATCCTCCACCCTCCATCCTCCCTGGCATCCCAATCCCCTCAGCTCCTTGCCCCTCAAGGACTCAGGCATTCTGGATCCTCCCCTTCTTCTACACTCCCCTCTCCCCTGGGACCCAGGTGTTCTGAATCCCCTCCCCAGCTACCACCCCTTAGAGTCCCAAACATCCTAAATCCCCCACACCCTTTTGGGGACCCAGGCATCCTGATCTCCCCAGCCCCATCCCTCTGAGACCTGAGCTTTTCAACCTCTACAGCCCCCATCCTTCCTTTCAGTGACCCTGGCACCCTGGCACTCTGGCTCACCGCAGGGCCCGGCTCAGCTTGTCATAGTTCATGTGGGGCTTGCATTTGCGGATGCCCCACAGGCGCGCCACCTCGTCGGGGTCCTTGATGACGAACTCGCCGTAGTCCCCCTGCCACGCGATGACACCTTGGTATTCTTCCTTCTGTAGCAGCTCCAAGATGAAATGCCACAGTTGGATCTGCCGAGAGCCCGGGGACGACTCAGGCTTGTAGGCCCAGTCTGGGAAGGCAAAGCCTGGGGGAAAGAAGGAAAGAGAGGGTGAGAGGAGGGCAGGAGTCAGGACAAAGGGGCCCAGCACCCTGCTTCTCCTGGAGGCATCCTGACTCCCCAGCCTCCTCCCACTTGGGGACACAGGTGCTCTGATCCCCCAACTTCTCACTCAAGGACCCAGTTGTCCTGCTCCCCCAACCTCTTTCCATTTGGAGACATCCCAATCTCCTCCCACTCGGGTCCCCAGGAATCCTGATGCCCTAATATCCTCCCTCTTGAAGACTCAGGAGTCCTGATCCCCCAACCTCTTTTCACTTGAAGACCCAGGAGTCCTGATCCTCCAACCTCCTCCTCAGACACCCAGGTGTCCTGATCCCCTAACCTCTTACCACTTGGGGCCTCAGGTGTTCCGGTCCCCCAGCCTCCTCCCCCTTGGAGTCCCAGGCTTTCTGAACCCCCAGCCCTGAGGAGGACAAAGGCATAGGGAATCCCTGGCATCCCAGTACCTCAGGTTGGAATGACTTTATGGGCCATGGTGTGGGACTGGAATTAGGGGAAGGAGCCCTGTCTATACTTCCCCTCACCTCTCACATGGAGCCTAAAGCCAAGCACAGCTTTGGTGCAGGTAGTCACCAGCGGGGACTTTATATGACACTGGCCTCTGATGCCTGAGGTCTGCCAGACCTTGGTTCCTGCATGTACACCCCAACTATGATCTGCCAGATCCCTGTGTCCCATCTTGCCACCCCAGACCATTTGCCATTCCTGCCCCATCTGCCCAGAGTGGGAACCTTCAAGAAAGTAAGGGGTCAGCGAGGAATGTACAGGCAAACCCTTGGCCTCTCTCCTCTCCTCAGTCCGGTCTGCCCAAATATACTGACACAACCAGATACACAGACAGACATATAGATACAGGGGAATACAAACACACATACTCAATCACCCTCAAAGACTGGGCTGGTCACCCCACCCTGCCACACACATTGTGACAGAGATGCTCTTAGAAGGAAATGCCTGCGACAGTCCCAGTTACACATACACATACTTTCTACTGGCTTTTCCCCTTTCAGAATGATTGGGTGGGGTGAAAGGGAATCTCGGGAGAAACGCAAAGGGAACCTTTCTCAATTGCCAGCTTGGAGACCCTCAACGTTGCCCCTCTCCTACCCTAGTTATTGATTTCCTTATCTCCCATCTCATAATCTCTCCCTCTCTCAATCCCACATTTCCCCAATGCCTCCATCTCTCAGTCCCCTGTAATCTCCCAATTCAAGTCCATCTCCCAATCCAAGTCCATCTCCCAATCCTCACCTTACATTCTCCCCCTACCCTGCCTTGCTGTTCTCCCTGGATCATTCTTCCATCTCACGGGGTCTCATCTTACCCTCCAATTCCCATCATTCCCATCTCCCAATGCCCCATCATCTTCTGCTCCCCTGGATGCTAACTCTCCCCCTGGCCACCGCCAAAGTGTTGGGGTCTTTGGGGGAAGTTTGCCATCCAAGTTTTTCATTTGGAAGGGAAATGTGTATACTCTTCCTTGAGAGAGGACAGTGACGGGAAAAGAGACAGACAGGCAGAGAGAGAGACAGAGAGAAGAGAGAGGGGGAGAGAAAGAGACAGAGACAGAGGAGGAGAGAGAGAGACACACACACACACAAAGAGACAGAAGAGAGACAGAGAGAGAGAGATACTAATTGGGAGAGACAGAGGCCAAGGCAGTATAGAGAATGAATGAAAGACAGAGAAAGGGGAGACAGAAACATCGACAGAGCTGTGCAGAGACAGACATCCAGCGAGGGGCATGAAAGCCAAAGGTGCTGAGTGGCAGAGATGCGGCAGAGTAGCAGAGAGAAAAAGGGAGGGGGACAGCGGCGCTGGGGCAGGGCCGGGAGAGTTACCCGGAGTCCAGAGTGCCGGCACCGGCGGGGTGAAGAGCAGATCCGAGACGCAGTTACAGTCCATGTCGGGAGCGCTGCAGAAAGGCCAGGGAGCCAGAGATACAGAGCCAGAGACGCGGAGACAGAGAGGCAGAGACAGAGACAGAGAGAAGGGGGTGAGGCGAGGCGGCCCATGGGCCCGAGGCCCTTCCCCCACCCTCTCTGGCCCCTGTGCCCAGACTCCGCCAGTCTCCTCCGGACTCCTCTCCCGTCCCTGCCCCGGGCTCCTGCATCCTCAAACGTCTCCCTCCCACCTCTCAAGGCCCCAGACTGGCTTTCAGTGTGTCGCCCCGCCGGCTCTCCCCTAGCTTCCCTCCTTTCCCATCGCTAAAACCACAGCTACCCTCACATCCTCCGTCTGCTCTGGTCTCAGGAAGCCCTGTCTAGCTCTGGTTCTGGCTCTGTCTCTGCTTCTGTCTCTGGATGTAACTATCTTTCTCTGTCTCTGTGTTATGTCTCTGTCTCTGCATGTAACTGTCTCTCTCTTTCTCTGAGTCTGTCTCCTCCGAGGCTATCATGACTGTTTCTTTCACTGTCTTCTAAACCCTTGTGTTGATTGCTATCTTCGTCCTCCTCCCCCCCCCCCCCCCCCCCCCGCCCCAGCTAGGGCAAACACAGATACCTCCACAGACACGTCGCACGCACACGCACACACACCAGATTCTCACAGACCCTCACACCTAGAGATCCATCACAGACAGCCTCAGACACTCAGGACACCCTTGCAAACCCATCCCCTACACTATTTCTGCACCCCCTTTCACTCGTCTCTCAATCTATCTTCCATCTCCCCCAGTCTCCCTAGTGCTCCCCACTTGCCCCAGATCTCTTCTCACATCCTCCATTTCTCCATCTCTCTGAATTTTCCCCTGCTACCCCAACTCTCCCATCTTCATCCGTTTCTCCCCACCTCATATCTTCCCTTTCTATCCCGATCTCTTCACGTCTCTTCAAACAGCCCCTCAGCACCCAGTCTTGTCTATTTTTCCCTCACTTTCTCCCCCTTCCTCTACTACTCAGCTCCCTCCCTCTCTCCCCTCCATCTTCCTCCATCTTCTCTTCTTCCCCAGCTCTCCTCATGGCATTTTTCTGTATCTCCATCTCCCTCTACCTACCCATCTCCATCTTTTCGTATCTGTCCCCAATCCCCTTCCTCCCTTCATCTCTCATCTCCCTCCATCTTATCTCCATCTTTCCCCCATCTTTTCTTCATCTCTCTCCCATCTCATCCCATCTCTTTCTCATCTCTCCCCCCTCTCATCTCCCCCATCTCTCCCCCCCCCTCCCCATCCCTCTCATCTCTCTCCCTCATCTCTCTCCCATATCACCCCCTCATCTTTCCCCATCTCTCTCCGTCTCTCCCTCATCTCTCCCCCATTTCTCCCCCTCTTTCTTCTCTCCTCCATCTCTCGTCCACTTCTCCCCCGTCTTTCCTTCATCTCTCCCCATCTCTCTCGCTTTCCCCCATCTCTCTCCTTGTCCCCCCCCCACCTCACCCCCCGGCTCCCCCTCCCTGGGCCAGCTCATTTCCGTGTTGGTTTTGATTTCTCTTCCCGACGCTTTCAACTCCCCGCCGCCTCCTCCGGACACGTTATAACGAGGAGCCGGGGGACCGCCCGCCCGCTCCCTCCCAAGCCCTTCCCCCGCTGCTGCCAACCCTCAGTTTCCCCCTCCCTTGTCTCTCTGCCTCAGTCTCTGTCTCTGCCCCTCTTTGTTTCTTCTTCTCTGCCTCTATCCCACTCTTTCCTCTGTCTCTCCATCTCTGTTTCTGTCTCTCTCTCTTTTCTTGCACTATTCTTTTCCAGGCCTGGCTCTGTGTGGCTGTGGCTCCATTTTCATTTTTTATCTCTCTCCGTCTCTGTTTCTCCCAGGGTCCTCACTGATTCTCTCTGTCGCTTTCCTCTGTCCTTTTCTTCAGGCCTGGCCGAGTGTATGTATGTGTGTGTCTTCTCTCTGTCTCTGTCTCTGGGTCCTCTGTTGGTTTTTTCTTTCAGTCTTTTTGAGTCTCCCCATTCTCTTTACTCTGTTATTTTCTTTAGGCCCAGGTACATGTGTGTATTCTCTCTCTCTCTCTATCTCTCAGTCTCTGCATCTCTGTTTTGCGTCTGTTGTTTCTTTACCCGTCTAGATATCTCTGTGGAGTTAGCGTCTCTTTATCTTCCTGCCTACCTCTGCCCACATCCTATCTCTTTTTCTTTGCATTTCTGCATCTCTCTTCTCTCTCTCTCTACTCATCTCTCTTTTTCTGTGTATTTTGGTGTGTATCTCTCTCAGTTTCTTTTTCCTGGACATGTCTGTTTTGCTCTCCCATGTTTGCCTCTATTTCTGAGTCTCTGTCCCAATCCTTGTCTGAATTTTTGTGTTCATGTCTCTCTCCCCATCTCCCTCTGCTTCTGTTTCTGTCTCTCTCTCTGCCTACCCCTCCATGTCTCTCTATCTCTCCAATGGTCTCCCTAGGTCTGTCTCTGTCTCTGCCAGCTACCTCCACCCCCAACCTCTGGCTTTGATCTGCCTCTCGCCCCTGGCTCCCCTCCAGCCCCATTGATTCCCGATTGACCCAGAGGAGCAGGAAGGAGCCTGGGGCAGCCCAGCATAGCCAAGGCTGAGGGTCTGGCCAGTACTGGGGCAGAGGGCTAGAGAGAGCTGGGATGGGAGGGCAGAGACCAGAGACCAAGCAGTCTTTGGGTCTGTCTCTCTCTTTCTTCTTGTCTCTCCTGACTCCATGAATATCTCTGTCTCTGCTTTGGAGGTACTTATGTTTTCTCTTTTTCTGCCTCTGGGTCTCACACTCTTGGTCTTCCTCCCTCCCCCTCCCCCTGTCCCCCTCCCCCCAAATCTCAGTTTCTCTGACTTGATCATTCTTAGCCTCTGAGGCTCTCTGTCTCAGTTTCTCAGTTTCTCGTTCTCTGTTTCCCCCACCCCTCCTCCAGTCTAGGTCTCAGACTCACACTTTCTCTTTTTTCCCCCTCACTCTCTGTCTCTCTCTTTCACTCACTCACACAGGGATGGGGGCTTCGGGGCAAGTTTTAATTTTTAATTTTATTTTGCTTCCTCTGCCACCCCCCCCAACCCAGCCCCACAGCCCCCAGCACAGGTCCATGTGTGCAGAGATTGGACGCACACAGAGAAACACTCAACTACACAGTCACACACAGATTCACATTCACAGATCACACACACTCAAACACAACAGACACACAGTCATGGGCAGACAGCCTCAGAGGCTGAGAACGGCCAGGTCAGAGAAACTGAGATTTGAGGGGAGGGAGAAGGGGGGGGAGATCAAGAGTGTGAGACCCACAATTCCAGACACACTAAAGGCACACACAGATATGTGTAACTCCCAGTCACACAGACTCACTCACATACAATTAACTAGAATCCCACATAGGCCTGTAGAATGGACATACAATCATACACAGATTCACAAGGTATGCAATCACCCATCTGTACTCATGCCTAGACATAATCACACAGAAACACAAAAAATATATAGATACAACCCACTTCACAATTTGTAAAAATTGGTAGAGATTTACTGATCATTTCTGTGGGTGCCCCCAGCCCACTTCATTTATCTCTGTCTCTGTCTCTGTCTCTGCCTGTCTCTGGGTCCCATGTTTCCACCCTTCCCCTGGAGCTGGGATTTACCCAGCTGTTTTGATTCCTTAAAGCTCCCGCAGCTGCCTCTGGAGCTGCCTCGGGCCTGACTCCCTCCTCCCCACCCTTCACCCTCGGACCCCTCCCTCTTTCCTTCTCTCCCTCCCTCCCTCTCCCCCCTCCTCCCCGGGACACTGTCTGCACAAGTGGAATGAAAATTGATTTTTTTTTTTAAATTTCATATCGTCTCCAGGCTCAGTCTAAGAAGGAGGCACGGAGACATGGCCCAGGCCCCCAAGCCACACACAGCCACACACCCCCTCCACACACACACTCACACACTCACACATACACTCACATACAGATCCATCTAGCTAGTTCACATTGCCCTGTGCCCTCAGATACCCATTGAGACTCACATGTACAGCCTGTCTCCCACTTCTCTCTCTCTCTCTCTCTCTCTCTCACACACACACACACACCCTCATGTCAAGTAAACGTCCTCCCTACCTCCCAAGCCCACCTCTTCCACTCAGAACCATAGAAGAAAGCCCACCCATCTGCTTGGCCTCAGACCCTCACCCCTTCACCACTGGGCTTTCAATCTCTCTGCTCCTGGGCCCCAGACAGTAGATGTGTTCACACACATTTATTTACCCCACCCCTACTTGAAAAAACCCAACCTTGGCCTGACCATAGTTCTACCTCATTCAGAATTCCGTGGAGTTACACACACACACACACACACACACATACCCATACACACACACACACACACACACACATGCCATCACATTCAGACCCCCCCCCATGTATTTAATTATTCATTCAACAAAGGAAAAGCAACCAGAGATACACATGCACATATAAACACACACACACACACACACATAGACACAGATATATTTAGACCCTGGACACACACATGTTTAGTTATTCATTCAACAAACACAGAGACATGAGCAGAGGCACAATCATTCCTTGACACTCATACGTTTGTTCCTACTAGGAGGTCCCCCCAATCACTGGTGTATAAAATGGCAGGAGTCAGCATAGATACACATACACTTGGATCCTCATGACAACACCCCCTTATCTCCCAGGCTCTCATCCTGACCCCCATCTCCCAAGGTTCTCTAGCCACTGCCTGACACGCTTTCCTTGTTCTCAACCTGAGTCTCTCTCTCTCTCTCTCTCTCTCTCTCTCTCTCTCTCACACACACACACACACACACACACACACACACACACACACACACACACTGCAGATAGACAACTTCACTTCTTAGGACCAAACCCTTTATGGGAAACAGAGTACTGGGGGTGTCATGGGGTTCAGGTGTGATTCAGTCATTGAGCTTCGGGTTCTGGAGATAAAGGTTTGTGTTTGAAAGAGGTAGAGTGAAAAGCTGGAAGAGGGGCAGA